ACTTGGTCACCGGTTCGGCAACTCCCCGTCACCAGGGCTCACCCGATTTATGCGCAGTAGCTTGGTGATGTCCTCGCACTGGACTTTCCACGTACGTGGGCTGCTGAATAGCCAGGAATCGGTAGATCCTCCTGCCAAGCAGCCCTTGTGATCCAGGTCGGCGGCTCGGGATGCGGGAACCATCTGATTCCCTCTTTCAGGGAGAAAAATGCCCTGATGTGACTCTCAAACTCAGCAGGCTCGCGTCGTTATTGCCGATAATCAGCTTTGGTGAATGAAAGGGGGTCTGGAAATCAAAGCCCCATCTTACCCCTCCGCCCCTCTCCAGCAGGGACTGTCCTGGGGGGAGTAAGTTGACTAAAGCTTGACACAGAAAGCGGTGCCCAGATCAGGTATTTCGGATCAGAAGCTCAAGACCGTTGTACCCAAAGAGCCCAGCAGCACAGAAAAATTACGATATTCCTTCTGCTCCTGCGTACGCTGGTGAGCGTTGTAATGGGAACACTGTCCTCAGGGCCAGAGAGCATCCCCCATATCCAAGCAGAAATTCTCAGTTAAGGCACTGGAAAATCCCACCGGGCACTTCGCAGCAGCCAAGCGGGGACAGGTTGGGAAGGATTCAAGGTGGGAAAACCTTCAGGTCTCCATCCTTCCTTTTTAAGAGGTGCTGACTGATTTCCATGCACAGAATTTGTTTTTCTCCTTTCAGCTGACACTGCAGGACCGCTAGATGTTACATGCTGAATTAAATCCATCCCCGCTATCTGCACAGGCAAACACAATCCGAGTTTGAAATAGAAGTTTCAATAGACTGAGCTGATGGGGTCTGACACGCAGTTGGCATTTTAGACCAGGGGTAGAGGTTGCCAAAGTTTTTTGGACGGCGAAATGAGAAAGTATTGCAATGCTTCTCTCTGTGAGGAGGGTTTGTTGTTGTTTTCTGACGGCTGTCTCCTTTCTGCTCCAGGAAGCTTTGGAAAGACCCTTCAACCTTCAACCCCGAGCGGTTCCTCAACGCCACGGGGACCGAAATAAGCAGGACGGAGAGCGACAAAGTGATGGCTTTTGGCTTGGGGAAGAGGAGGTGTATCGGGGAGTTCATCGGCCGGTGGGAGGTCTTCCTCTTCTTGGCCACCATGCTGCAGCAGCTGGAGTTCAGCCTCCGTCCCGGGGAGGAGGTGGACATCACCCCTCAGTACGGGCTGACAATGAAATACAAGAAATGCGAGTGCTTCCAGATCAAGAAGCGTTTCCCCGCGAAGAGCTCGCCGTGAGCCGCGGGAGGAAGCGTCGCTGTGCAGAAGAAAGCCAGCCCTCGGCGTCGGACGCTCAGCCTGCTTTTGCTCCTGCTCCCGAGAAGCCAGCACAGCCCCTCGCCGTGCTGCTCCGCTGGAGGCTTTGTTCGTCTCGCCTAAATGCGAGCGGGGAGGGAGAAAGCCTTTTTCGGCGGGCTCCTCGCGGCTCCCCAGCCAGCTCCGTCGCCCTTGCCCGCAGAAACGCTCGCCGGAGGTCCAGCCCGCGCATCCCTCCCGGGGGGGTCCCGGGGGACCGCAGCCCTGCGGCGGGGAGGAGGATGCTTTG